AATCGGAAGAAAAAGAGAACAAATAAAGAATATAGCCAAATTCCATCAAATTGTTTTCTGTATTTTTTTGCGCAAAATTTCGAAGGGCACTTTGAAATCTAGAACCCCTGCCTATCATTGGTGGACGTAAATTTAGCCCCGCCTACCTGCCCCGCCTCCGGATTCTGCTAGTATAAGTATCGGTGATCCGCTCGCGTAAAAATTACTCGTCTGAACAAGAGCTCGTAACGCAACTCTTCGTCAAGACTCTTGCCGCTGAATTTTCCCGAAAGGAGTGTCAGAGCCTAAACCTCTCAAAAATTCAAAATGGTAAGTGGACATCTGTATTATTCGTGTACAGCCTAGCAAACGAGTTACTCGATATTTGCTAATGTGGTCGCGAGAAGCCGGTTACGCATCGGTTATCCGCTCAATCTCAACTTCCTCTCCTGCTGCCACGTAGAGCTATGACTCATGTTTTCGCCGCGCCCATTCTCCCACTTACTCACTGGGGAGGGAACATTTTTCATCTCGGTTATTCTGTTATACAGTAGCTAATACAATGTTGCAATTGCGCAATATTTTTTCGTTGGTTGTAGTTGAAAAAACACCATTGAGGTATAAAAATACATCTGCAAATATGGTCGGACAGTAAAAGCCGGTATGGAAGCGTTTGTCTGACGCCGTTTTAACGCATTTTCGGCGGGAGTGTAAAGTTCATATCAACGGTTATTGGTTAAGATTAGATTACGGTTAACGTTGCGGTTAGGGTTATAAGCTAAGGGTAGGAATTGTGGTTTGGGCTAGCGATAGGGATTAATGTAATATTTTCCATTCTGTTTTTCCGCTGTAAACGCGTGTTGCGGCGGTCATGTTCTTGCCTCAGTTTTCAAATATTTTTCTTGCAAACAGTGATATATATATATATATTTCACCTGCTTTCCGAATACTTACGTGATGTTCATATATGCTACTCTACACGTGAACAATTCACTCATGAGTATGAATGATTCTGGACGCGCTTAATGAAGCTCCAAGAATCATTCTTTGTGCGGTGCAATAATTAAGATATATATAATTACAGCCTTGTCTAACACAGGTCTCTGCTGCTATACTATTGTCTACTGCTAAAATACGATACTCTTGTTATTATCGTCGTCGTCGTCATCGTATATCTTCATCTATGACTAACACATCTTAACACATCTAACCTTAACTCCTAACTCCCAACCGCTAACCCTGAATCTCAATACCGTGACGTACGCCTATGTACTGATGTTCTAATGTATGCTCGGGCGTGAACAGAATTACGCATAAAAGAAGCAGAAATGACAGTCCCACTAACCTTGAAACAAAGTACAGTACACGCCTTGTAGGTAGAAGCGTTGGAATGTAGACAGAAAAGGAGCGAGGAGTGCGAGCGAGGGTGAAGGGTGAGGGGTGGGTAAATGTGAGAGCGAGAGAGAAAGAGAAAGGAGACCGCGAGAAAGTGAGAGAGAGATGTGGCCAGAACGAGCGCAAGAGAGAAGGGGGGGGCGAGAGAGGGGGAGGTAGAACTCACCTACTACCGTGGGTTCCAGGTCAACGAACACGGCCCTAGGAACGTGTTTTCCCGCGCCCGTCTCGGCGAAAAACGTGTTGAAGGAGTCGTCCGCTACACCGGGGTTCGGATCTGACGGCATCTGTCCATCGGGCTGAATGCCATGCTCCAGACAGTACAGCTCCCAGCAGGCATTGCCGATCTGTACACCCGCCTGACCGACGTGGATGGAGATACACTCACGCTGAAAGAAAGCAAGCAAGCAACGGCTCAGGTTCACGTCCTCACAATATTACATCTAAATACGTGATTGTCCAGCGGCTGTGTCACACCGTTCCTATAACACCACATGACGAGGTGTACAGTGAGGCAATGTATGGAATGCAATGCGTGCGCATGTAGCAAGTCCTCAATATCTGCTGTAGTGACCGATACAGTACAGCCCAACGCTTTCGATTCGCATTTGTACCGAAGCTATGCTGATCGTACCGGTAGTATAGGTAGGGCTGTGGCTAAGGGTAGGGTGGTGGTAAGGGTACGGCTGTGCTTAATAGGAGCGCCATGTTTCGGAAAGACTTAGGAATGAGGCTATATATATGTTTTGTTGCAGGATATAGGCCTTACGGGTCATGAATATAGGGCTATGTTTGGGGATATAGTGGCGGATAGGGCTATGCGGTAAGGAGTAGATCTATGTTTTGAGGTAGATTCAGGTTTAGGTGTATGATTATTGATTAGTGGCATGGATATAGACAGGGTTCGGAATTAGGGCCATAGTCTGGCGGGGGGGGGGGGGTTAGATATTATACATACCTGTTACGATGTCCATAATCTACTCGGGTCGAATAGTGCAGACCTTTAACGTCGGGTCGTTTCTCCCTCTTCTTGCAGACGAGGTGCGAAGAGGAATCTACAAGCAGTTGTTCCATCCCGAGCAGCTGATCACGGGCAAAGAGGATGCGGCTAACAACTACGCTCGCGGTCACTATACGATCGGCAAGGAGCTTATCGACCAGGTTCTCGACAGAATTCGCAAACTGGTGAGTGTAGCGGTTTTGTCTCACGTGCGGATACATATATAGTCGGTAAGTACCGTACTTAGCAAGCGCGTGTGTGAGGAAGCTTTGACTTACGTCAACGCAGCCAGACGTGCCGCCAGCGCCAGGCGTGCGCGCACGATTTTGTTCTGCTGCGAAACGCGTGCAGTAAATAAATAAATAGAATGAATGGGAAAACAAACCGACACATAGACAGATTGGTTAATCGGCCAATATAACAGCAGATTAATAAATAAATGAATGCATACGTAATGTTGCGTTGCCTGCGTGATAATATGGGTCATATAATGATTAATTAATATAAATAGGGTTCATCTCATAAGTGCTACATTGGTTGCGTTGCTTGCAGGCTGACCAGTGCACAGGGCTTCAGGGATTCCTCGTGTTCCACAGCTTCGGAGGAGGAACCGGATCTGGTTTCGCCTCCTTGCTGATGGAACGTCTCTCGGTCGACTACGGAAAGAAGTCCAAGCTGGAATTTGCGATCTACCCAGCACCTCAGGTATGCAGTGGAATCACTAGTGCGCACTTTTAACTGCGATATACATAAACGTTTATTCATTTAATAATTAGATGACCATTGGAGTTCGACGACGACTAGCATAATTATTTCCGTCCGTGCGTTCGTGCGCGTTCGGGGGTGTGCGAGTGCGTGCGTGCGTGGGCATTCGGGAGCGCGGAGTGCGTGCGGGCGCGGGGACGCATGTTCGTAATTCACAGCATCATGACGAGGAATACATCTGAGCGGAGCAATTGCTTGCTGTCTGTTGGCAGGTGTCCACGGCTGTCGTCGAGCCGTACAACTCTATCCTGACGACGCACACGACGCTCGAGCACTCCGACTGCGCCTTCATGGTCGACAACGAAGCCATCTACGACATCTGCCGCCGCAACCTGGACATCTCGCGTCCGAGCTACACCAACCTGAACCGCCTCATTGGCCAGATCGTCTCCTCGATCACCGCCTCCCTCCGCTTCGACGGAGCCCTCAACGTGGACCTGACCGAGTTCCAGACGAATCTGGTGCCGTACCCTCGCATCCACTTCCCGCTGGTCACCTACTCGCCGATAATCTCCGCCGAGAAGGCCTACCACGAGCAGCTGACCGTCTCCGAGATCACGAACGCCTGCTTCGAGCCGAACAACCAGATGGTAAAGTGCGACCCGCGCCATGGCAAGTACATGGCCTGCTGTCTGCTCTTCCGCGGGGATGTTGTCCCCAAGGATGTCAACGCCGCCATCGCGACGATCAAGACGAAACGCTCTATCCAGTTCGTCGACTGGTGTCCGACTGGATTCAAGGTCGGAATCAACTACCAGCCGCCGACGGTCGTCCCCAGCGGAGACCTGGCCAAGGTTCAGCGCGCCGTCTGCATGTTGAGCAACACTACGGCCATCGCTGAAGCCTGGGCTCGTCTCGACCACAAGTTCGACCTGATGTACGCCAAGCGCGCCTTCGTGCACTGGTACGTCGGCGAGGGCATGGAGGAGGGCGAGTTCTCCGAGGCGAGAGAGGATCTGGCGGCGCTGGAGAAGGACTACGAGGAGGTGGGCACCGACGTTGCGGACGAGGACGAAGAGGAGGGTGAAGAGTATTAGAGGCCGCCATTTTGATCCGACGCTGTCCCGAAAGATGGTGCCAGCTCTATAGGAATCTCGAAAAATCTCCCGGGAGTCACGCGAGAAAATCTTCTCTATAAGATTTCGTATTTAACGAGGTATCTGTCGTTTCTGCTTGTTCAGTAAAAGCACTCTTAACACTAACAGTGCACATCTTGGATTTTTTCGTTAGAATTTTCTGCGATATTTAATTTGATGTCAATTGATTATGGCAGTGCCAAGTCATGTAACTAAATCAGAAACCTCTTGTCAATAAACTCTTCTGCAACTTTAATAGCGGCTTGGGCAGTTTTTTCGTGTAAACATGCTTTATGCACATGCATGAATAATTACTACATGAATAATTATAATGGATCAATAGTTACTAACGTAATTCTCAAACAAACGCACGCACGTAATTTGTTGGCAATTTTACTTACGGTTCGTATTGCTTATGCGTTTAATTATGGATGTGGAACACAAGTCCCCAACGAGTATATCACAAATTCATGTATACCAAAAAACATTAACCGCTTACACAAGTTTAACAACAGAACCAGCAGCAGTGAAGCTAACCTGAAACCCGGCAAAGTTTCTGGATGAGATAGAATCGATTTAAAAATGCTAACCTAGGCAAATTCGTCCGTACGTAAAATTAATGAGAGAAAAAAATTAGAATGGATATTCACCGATGAGCGATGAAGTAGAGAGCAGATCGTGGAATTATGTACTCTCATACACCCCCGTAAGTTCCCCGATTAAAAATATGCGATATTACATGCTTTATATCAGGAGTTAATAATGACAAATTTGTCAATTGACAATCGACAATTGACAATTGACAATAATGACAAAATTTGTCATTATTAACTCCTGTTTATATACGAGTGTATGGGCGTACGTGCGTGTATGTGCGCGTGCGCGCCTGCGTGCATGAGTGCATGTGGGTGTAGGTGTAGGTGGCTATATAGATAAGTGGGTACGATTAGCGTCACGTGTAAAGGATGTTCCGGATGTTTCCACGATGGTATGTCATCCGCGGCGTACACGCCCCTGAGCGATGGATGATGACGCATGGCGATTCTCAGCGCTCTTGGGGCAAGTCAATTTACATCCATCTCAGTGGCGTTGCAGCTCCGTGACCGCACGCTGGTGCCTGTAAGAGAGTGAGTGCTCTTCACTTTCCCTGATGAGAAACCCTGCTATGACATAGAGGCATCCGCCAGATGTTTCATCACCGCCGCTCTTGATTCATCTGGGTCGATTTTAATGAGCGTAAATACCCACCTGTGTGTGTGTGTGTGTGTGTGTGTGTGTGTGTGTGTGTGTGTGTGTGTGTGTGTGTGTGTGTGTGCGTGCGTGCCTGCGTGCGTGCGTATACGTGCGTCCGTAGGTGCATGTAGGGTGCATATTCCAGGCTTAAGTGCACAGGAAGAAGAGGAATAGAGAGAAGAAGGGGAAGAATAGAGGGAATAGGGATAGGGAATAGGGAAAAGAAGATAGGAGTAGAATACAGAGAAAGGCAAATAAGGGATAGAGAGAAAGCGGGACAAAAAGGTATGAGAGTGAACGAGAGAGGGAGAGAGATCGCACGCGAGACAGAGAGAGAGAGAGCGCGCGAGAGAGAGAGAGAAAGAAAAAAGAGAGACTGATGGCTATACGTAATTATCCGATGGCTGTCTATTACAAAATCAATTCCACCGCGTTCTTTAGGGCCTACAGAGGCCGAGATTCCTTAGAGCTGCCTGGGACCTGTACCGTAATATAAATAATGAGGCCTATGTGTATCGCAAGCTCTTGGTATCAGATTCAAGTTAATTGTGAACCTACGGGGGAGTTAGACGTGGCGTGACGTGACATCACCGGCGCTTCTTAACCGGGCCGTTGTTTAAAAACAGTTAATCTGAAATCCTAGCCTTAGTACTAGTAATAACGTACCTACTAGCAGCATCAGCAGTAACATCAGCAGCAGTAACAGCAGCAGCAGCAGCACCAGTAGTGCCGACAGAAGTAAGTTACTAGCAGTATATAGTTACTTAGTTTTTGTCGTTACTTTTTAATTGTGACTACTCTTGACTCTTGTATCATTTTTGTTGACGATTAACGGTACGATCGTACTATGTTTTCTATTAGTAAAAGCAGAAGTCGCGTGCACTTACATAACCTGGTTATAGTGACACGTCGGCGATGTTAAATCAGCTACTTCCGCAACCGCCTGCTCAAAACAATAGACAGAAGCGCTTCTCATGCAGAGATGAGTGCTAGATGTTGATGATTCAGATACCAGAAGAAGGAAACCAGAAAGGCCAGCTTATGTGACGTCACCAGCAGCGCAGACGAAAGTGGAACGACCACCGTGCGATGAAACAATGGAGGTTTATATGCGAAATTACTAAATCTAGTCAGCGGCAGCGGTTTAATAAACGAACGTTAGCACCGGGAGGGAGGGAGGCGTATGTACATCAGAGGCGTAAGCCCCGTGCGCACACGTGAGTAATTTTACTCAAGTAAATGACGCACGAGGTCAAAATACTCCGCCGTATATTTTCAGCGTTCGACCCGCCACACGTGAGTAAAATTACTCAGAATATTGCAGATCCACGTGACTGTGCGCAACCAATAACTGGAGCGCACAAATGAGTTTATGCATATGCCGCTAGTGCGGTACTAGCTTTTGAGTAAATTACCTCAGCGCGCGCACACGTTGAGTAAGAATGACGCATGAGCTCAAAAATTATCAAACACGGGTTTGATATTGAGTAAAATGACGCATGCGTCAAATTACTCAAGCGAAAACCGCGCACTCGTGATGAGCAAGATCGTATAGTGCCCCAAGGCAGCAAGATAAACCACTATGGCGAAATCACGTGCAATGACGTGTAGTTACGCAATGGAGCGCCACGTCCGCCATTTTAGCGGGAAGCAAAACCCGCCTCCGTGTTCTGTTTGATACATAGAAAATAATATGCGATAACCATGGTTAATACTATATATATTATTCTAAATATAATGTAATAGATAACTATTTTTTATGCAATTAGCTGTATTCAAATCTCTCATTCAGGTGTACAACAAATTAGCAATGATTCATATCGGATGTTACATGTACTGTAGTATTGTACACAGTGCAGTTGCCGTTGTAAAGTGTCGACAGTGGTACAGTGACGGGCTCTTCATTGGACCGTCTCAAAACAAATAATGCGAAATAAACACCTAATGTATCTATTAATCAAATTATTAAATGCTTCTGTCTACTCTATTTCGCATTAGTTTCGATAACTTTTGCTGTAAAATTGCCGTTTAAATGCTCATCTGCACACAAAGTAGTGAAGTGCACGGCACGTACGCCCCACCTGTGCACAAACAACACAGCCACTGGTACTAACATTGGTAACAACGAAAGATTGCACAGACTCTTTCACGATGTCATTTCGACAAAAAGAAGTTTTCTCACCTTTCCGTATTCGTTGGAATCTGAAGAAGACAGGTCGGGCTTACACTAACGATTGGAGCAATTTACACGTCAGAACAGTAAGCTGACTGACAGCACACAGCCGACAGGTCGCCAGAGCAGCTACAGCAGCATACGGGAACTGTCGTGTGAACTGCTTCCTAAAACCATGCGGTTGTGCGACCATGACCTACTCGCTATGTATTGGGAGAGTGGTTTATCTTGTGCTTTGGCACTATACGATTTTGTCGTGAGTAAAATGAGATGAGTCTACAATAACAATCAATATTCGAGACGTAAGAAGTCATTACGTTTCACCGCAGCATGGCCACTGTTAAAATCTAATGAATCACCACATTATCCACGGACAATTACCACCAGGACATACCCCACCAGACAATTACCTCCTGGACAATTACCCACCAGGGCCAATACCCACCAGGACAATTACCCACCAGAGATCAATACCTACCAGGCAACAATTACCCACGCAGGACAATTACCAGCCTAACTTCCAATAAGGAAAATTCCCCCTTCCGTAATAATTTTGTCCGCCTGCCAAATCATAATAGTAGGTCTAGACATCCGTCAAATTACTCACACGAAAATCGAACCGCACTGCTGTGAGTAAAAGACCATGAGTCTGACAATATAACAAATCAATATTCGAACGTATGAAGTCATTACGTTTCACCCACTGGCATCGTTAAAATCTAAATAAATCACACCACATTATCCAGGAACAATTACCCACCAGGGACAATCAGGGCGGATCCAAGATTTTCAAAAAGAGGGGCACAAATGAGAGCAATATGTAGTCAATTGGCTGGCCGGCGGATGAACCCCGGCCGAGGATGAGCGGATGCGCCACCGAGCCAGTCGAAAGCGAATAAGGGGGCAGGGGCGTTGTTACAGGATTTCGCGACGGGGGGGGGGTCTAACAGTCCCCCTACTTGCGCAGCAACGCGAAGGGGGTTCGGGGCGCCATCCCCGAAACATTTTTGAAATTAACCCCCTCAGATGCCGTTTTCTGGCGAGGCAGGGGTCCGGACCCCCTGGACCCCCCCCTGTACACGCCCTGGGGGACTTTTGCACTTTTTAGCTTAAATGGTGCAATCTGGATGCATACTGTAGAGGGTATTTACTTCATATGCCAGCAAGCATTTATTGTAGTTAAATTTGATCAGTGGCGTGACAGGCCTTTCGTATGGGCGGGGGGGACAAAGACCGGACAAATGTACCGAGAAATTTAAATTACACTGAAATGTTTTAAACCTGTATATATTTCTGACATGATCACTGTACGGTATACAGAAGCACATTACATATCAAATAACTATTGCAAGCTAGAGAAAAAAAGTATGCAATTCAACATACATCTTGTTGATTAATCGAATATATGCAAAACTTGAAAGAATGTTTGTGATTAGTATGAGTATGTTCATTCAGAAGCAAAATAAAATAGCTACTTTCTTCCCTAATGAAACAATCCGCTTACATACCATGATGCACTATAACAGTTGCAGCAGAATATATCTCTAACAATTGTAAAATCAAATTCTATGTAATGACTCTGAGATTGTTTTCTGTGGCCTGGAAATTCAGAGAGAATGACTGCAAATTTGAATAGTTATGCTTAACATGAAATGGAGTCATCGATGTCACAGATTTCTGACTGAATCCTCATCTTGTAAACCATGATTACAACATTGAAATTATGAGAAAATATAATTTTAGTAAGTTTTGTAAATTTTTTTCTATATAATAGCGCGTTCACACAAGAAAACCGCGATCTAATCGCGATTGAAATTACACGCGGATATTGGCTGCGTTGTTCACACAGC